TTATTTATTTGACAGAGAGAGACACAGCGAGAGAGGGAACACAAGCAGGGGGAGTGGGAGAGGGAGAATCAGGCTTCCTGCCAAGCAGGGAGCCCGTTGCGGGGCTCGATCCCAGGACCCTGGGACCATGACCTGAGCCGAAGGCAGACGCTTAACGACTCAGCCCCCCAGGCGCCCCTATACATTTGAAATATTTTAAACTTTCCTCAGAAATCTTTAAGTTGTGCTTTCTTGATTTTTGTTTTTCTTGAAATACCACAAATTCTGAATTAGTGGAGTTTAAAGCTGCACACTTGGACCATATGATTTGGTTCTTAAATATTTGAAACTGAATAATTTCCATTTTTCTTTCTGTTGTTTTATTAAGGTGGTTGGTTATTATTAGCTGTTTTTATCGAGTACCTGCAGTATGTAAGATACTTTGCTAAGTCCTGAGGATGTAAAATAATGGGCTGGCTTAACTTAGTGCAATAAATTCTCGCAATCTCACCCGGCAGTGATGGTCCTTGTCCTCCAGAACAGGGATGGAGGAACTATCCGCCCAGGAAGCAGCAGGATCACCAGCTGTCCAGTTTCAGTCTTTGGAGAGCCTGTCTGAGGGTCTGTCCCCAGAGCCTCCGTTCGTGCAGGACACCGACATGGAACAGGAGCTCAGTGGGGGTAAGGCCAAGAGAGCACTTAAATCCAAGAGAACGGGGGTGCAGTGGGGCTCCTGGGCCTGGTATGAGAGAGGCCGGGAACTTCAATAAGAAGATGGCCCCTAGGGGAGGTCTGGAAGGGAGGGTCAGATGTGACTCAGTTCAGTCCTGGCCTTGGGCTCTTCTGTTAAGGACAGCCCATCTTTCTTTAATAGGCAGAGTGGTGGTCATTCACTCTGCTTTGGCTTCTTTTCATTCATACAACCTTCACTTTATCCTGGTTTCACATCCAGAACAATTTCTAAGATACGCTGCTTTTGCTGCATCTCACAATCCTTGCCTCGCTCTTACTTCCTCTTAGATTTAGGGCCCTTCTCTCCCCCTGTTCCCTTCACTTAGTGTCTTCCCTCCTTGATGACTTTGCGAGCTCTGCCACCTGCCGTTCTGTTGCAGCTGCAGTGTTTGTGACTAATCTAATTTTGGCCAAAAAAGCAACCATTTAATTCCTTGGTCGAGCACAACGCCTGTACGAGCGTATACATATCACATATTGACTCAGCAGTAACATATTTATGTATCGTATAGATAGGTTGACATGTCTCGTACTTTTTTTGTTTTGTAAGAACCTTGTTTTAAGTTGCTGTGGCCAACTGCAGTGCCTGAAATAACTTATGTGTCAGCAACACCAGTTGAGTACCATGCTGTGTAGAGTGCTGTGGGGTGTTGTGGGAGTGTGGAAAAGGTTGTGAGGAAACAGATGACCATTCCTTATTCTTGGGAGCCTTACACAATGGTTGCAGAGACAGTGCCCTTTCACATGAAGGCTTACTGAAATTTACAGAACAGTGTCTGGGAAAGCATCAGAAGTCAACTAAATAGTCATTGCCCTGGACAAGTCACTGCAAGTCTTTATGCTTTGCTTTGCCCATCTGCAAAACAGGTGTAGTGCTTACCCTCCTGTTAGAGGAATGTCCTGTCATGAGAATAAAGTGAAATACGAGATTTTATAAGAAAATCCTGAATCACGGGTCTAAACATGGGTAAAGAGGGCATGCTGATGCTGAGAAGGAGCAGAGTAGATGCACTCAGTACCTGATAAACGTTCATTGGTTTTACTAGAATGTTGATGTGAAGAAGGGTCCCACTGACTCCCTCTTCTGTCAGGGAGCCCTGGGGAAGGGTTGCTCTCACTCTTGGCTCCTCTCTCCTCCCTCAGCTCCACCTGTTCCCCAGGTGCCTGCTCTTCCCCATGAGGGAAGCCCAGGAGACCAGGCAGCTACGCTCCTGACAGCCAGGTACCAGGTGAGCTGAGGAACCCTCTTTTTTCCTCAGGGACTGTTGCTACTGATCGAGTGTGGCCCTTCCCTCATCCCATCCGTAAACCCTGCTGCGAATTTTTTTCAATAGCAGACCCCAGTTTGGGAATTGATCCTCTTCAGAGACCTGGACTTCACAGAAACCACCTTCCCATTTCCCCACCTCCACCAGTAAACACTGTTCCTTCTTTATCCCTGGTGCTGTGATGGGCGTTTATTAGATGTTAAAGGTTATGGAACTTATTCCCTAGTTTCTAGTCTGTTTTCCCTCCTCCCCAGCTTTGCTACACACTGGACACCCTCGACACCCTCTCTGTGTCATCTCCTTTTTTCTGGCCACGATGCTATAGTGGCCTCATTCCCCAGAGCAGCCAGGCTGTGTTATTTCAGGAGTTTGTGACATTCGAGGATGTGGCTGTGCACCTTACTCGAGAGGAATGGGGATGCCTGGACCCTGTTCAGAGGGATCTCTACAGAGAAGTGATGTTAGAGAATTATGGGAACGTGGTCTCACTGGGTAAGGACTTTCTTATTATTCAGTTTACCTATTAGGATTTCTTTACTTCCTTGTTTCTGAGGAGGTGCGAGGTCTCTGAGAAAGTAGAGATTGGTTCAGATTCCAGGTCTTAGAACCTCTGAATCCTCCATCTTCAAGGTCATTTCCTCTGGGAGTGGGTTTTCTTGGGGGGGAGGGTGAGTTCAAGAGGAGACATTTTACTCCTTATCTTTAATTAACGATTCCTGCTTTCGTGGGGCATCTGTTTCCTGTTAGAAAAGGGAAACTTGCTTGTGCTTTGCCTAAGTTCTCACCTTCTCTATCTTTTCCTTTTTTATGAGAGGGACTTTAGAGCCTCCCAATCCACAACCAGACAGTTCCTTCCTGGTAATTCAGTGCCCCTGTATCTGAAAGTTTTCCATTTTTCTTGGAAGAAGAAATCCTTTTTTTAAAGATAGGCTGAAATCCTTGTTGAATGATCCCTCACCTCTTAACATTCCTAAATTCATCTCCAAGAGGCAGAGTTCGAGAGACTTCATTTAAAGACATGACTCACTGCAAGTCTATTTCAGTGAGTCATCCAGATGGTAGTCCTAAGTAACCTCACCCAGAGCAGCAGAAGTTTCAGCTTTAAACCGAGTCTCTCCTTTGTTGTTTGGGTGGTACAGCGGGCTGCCGGGATTAGGCACCCGGTAGTGCTCTAGAGCAGCATCAACGGGGCTGTTGGCAGCCCCCTTGATGTGAGCATTGCTCCTTTTCCTCTTTTTTTTGCCAGTCTCTACTTCTGCTTTTTTTTGTTTGTTTGTTTTTAATCTTTTGTATGTATGTATTTAATCATGCTTTTTTTTTCCTCTCTCTTTTTTTTTTTTTTTGGCTTTGCCTATGCTGGTGGCATCCAGGGTGTTCCTTTGTCTCCTTGATTATGCTCAGGATTAAAGAAGGCTTTTTACCTGTGGGGAGGCAGCCTGCCCACTGGGAAGGTTTTTAGTGTGTTTCCCATTCCTGGCTCTTTGATCTTTGTAGGCATACTTCTCCGCCTTCCTACCACCCGGATTCATAGTGTGAATTCCTGCCCGGCCCTGAGTCATACCCAGGCAAGTGCTTTCTCTGGAGAAACACTTGCAGTTCTTTCAGCAGGAATCTCCAAGAGATGGCCCAAGTATCGGCTTCCCATCGATATTGCTCGTCCCCGCTCGGAAACTCCTTTTCCACGATTGTAAGATATTACACTTGATTGATGCTCTCAGGATGCCACCACTGTGTAAAATTGCAGCTCCTCAGATGACCTTTGTTAAATTTCGGAAGGGCCAAGGAGGCCCTCCGTTGCAGCCGGATGAATTTTGAACCTGAGTTCTGAGTTCATTCATAAGCCACGGTTGGTGGTCATCTACTTGTGTTCTGAGAAACCACAAAGTTCAACTCCAGCTCCTCATTATGATCTTTTCATGTTATTTTAGAATGTGGAACATATGCTGTGCACCTCTCTTTTCTCTAGTGAATATGACCAGCCCCTTCTGTTGTCTGACTTTTCTGTGACCCCTGGGCTTTCCTCATGTTTAACACTCTAGTCTTCTCCTTTAAGTCCGCATGGCCCCCTCCAAGGCCCTGACTTTGTCCCCTTTATTCTTTGTGGTACTATACAGATTGATGCATTTAAATGACTTTTCCTGATCAAGTGTTCCTTAGCTCTGTCCTTGATGGATGGGAAATGGGAGGGCAAGAGTTGAATTTCTTTATTTCAGGGTATCAAATTGAATGTATATTTAACAACTTTGTAAACTGTAAAGTGATGTAATTGTAAACTGCTGTTAATTTTATCTAATAATTACATAATTTCCAACAGTTAATCTGTCTACTTTTTGGAGTAAACAAACTTCTTAGCACTTGAGTCAGCCTAATAGCACAGCGTGCCATTAGACTGAATTTTATCCCATTTCCTGTGTCATCTCTGCACAAGTACAGGACACTCATGCACACGCACACATACTGGCTACAAATGCATACAACAGACCCTTCTGTTCACCTTGCTTTTGTGACCACGTCAGCAGCATTTTTAGTTCATTATTTTTTACAGTTCTCAGGAAATCATTCTCATATTTGTGGGCTCAGCAGACTCCACCTGAAATGTAAGTTTATACACCTAATTAGCTTAATGTTTGGTGTTGTAAAATATGGACTTAGCAGCCCCACTGTCAAGTTCACATCTTTTCCCCACGGGAGTAGCTCAGTTGTCACAGACATCAAAACTTTGTTCCTTTGGGTAAGTGCTTTTACTATATAGTAGTAAACATACAGAGTATGAACAGCTGAATAAAAGAATAAAAAAGTAAGTAAAAAGTCATATTTTTCATTAACATATCTAAAAAGAAGCATGTTCTGTTGACAGCGAGTGAATTACTGGCTTGAGGGTCATACCCAACGGGAAGTTATCTGTGACTTAGTGCTGGAGATTAAGACCAGGAAAGTGGTCTGGATTGCATTTCATACAGGGTCAGTGTGGCAGGTGCCCTATTAGATGACATCATTAGAAACATGCCTATCAGAATTCTGGTTGTTAAGTAAGTTGATAAATCAGGAAATGTTTGGCACATACCCTTTGGTTTTTGAAATTGATGTCATGAGGACAAAAATTATTTTGTATAGAATGTCTTTTACTACCATGGCTATTTACTATTTATTGAGGAGCCAGTGTGTTACGAGGTACTATACATATCTCATTTAGTACTTGCCATAACCCTGTGAGCAAATGTTATTTTATTTTATACCTGAGGAAACAGGCTCAAAAGTTAAGTGATCCACTCAGGGTCAGAACTAGGCATAGGGCTCAGATCTGAATCTGAAGCTCATGTTCTTTTTCATTGTTTTGCCCCTTAGGACAATTAGTCCAACCACATATGGTGTTTTGAGCTTTTGTTTTTTAAAGATTTATCCATCTAATTCTTTAGAGAGAGAGAGTGGTGGGGAGGAGCAGAGGGAGAGAAGGTCCCAAGCGGCCTCCGTGCTGAGTGCAGAGCCCGACATGGGGCTTGATCTCACGACCCTAAGGTCACCACCCTGAGATCACAATCTGAGACAAAACTGAGTCAGATGCTCAACCAACTGTGCCACCCAGGGACCTCACATGTGGTTGTTTTATATTCTTACGGCTTTATACTCTGATGACAATCAGAAAAAGCCATGAAAAATTGGACAGATGGGCATTAGGTTGTACAGTTTGGGAGCAGAAAGAACATGCATTCAAGAAGAAATAAAATTGTGTAGGAATACAGTCCATTAAAATAGGTATCTAGGGGCGCCTGGGTGGCTCAGTCGGTTAAACAGCTGTTTTTGGCTCAGGTCATGATCCCAGGGTCATAGGATCGAGCCCTGTGTCATGCTCCCTGCTCAGTAGGAAGCCTGCTTCTCTCTCTGCCCCTCCCTCCTGCTCTGCTCTCTCTCACTATCTCTCTCAAATAAATAAATAAAAAAAAATAGGTATCTACATAAGAACAATATTACTAAGGAGAGCTTTCTTTTGTCTATTAAGGACGAAGAAGAAGGGCATAAAGCTTCCAGGTGGCTAAAATCTTAGCATAACTGGTATAAGCAAAAAAACAAATAATGAGGTGAATTTTAAATGTTATTTTTAAAGACCAGATTAAGTTAAAAATAAAGCTAATTGGAGAACTGTCAAGGTTTAAATTTAAAAAATTAAAAGGTTTTGGGGCGCCTGGGTGGCTCAGTTGTTAAGCA